TCTCTCTCTCTCTCTCTGTGTGTGTGTGTGTGTGTGTGTGGTGCTACATGGGAATGAATCTTTCCGCAATAGCGGGAGTGCGAGGCCATTGCCTCTATGAGCCCCATAAGGCCCCATTTTTGCAGCCCGTCGGCCGCCCTAAGTGAAGGCAGGCTCGATGAGGCCCTCAGGGCCCTTTTTTGGCCACCACGCAACTCACGGAAATTCAGGCAGTTGCGCAGCGCCAGTTGGTTGGGTGAACCCAGGCCATGGGCCGCCTGTGTGAATGTATGTGAAGCAGGCCCTGGGCTGGATAGGGGTACCGGGCCAAACACAGGCCGAAGGCAGTTGGGCACATGCAACCACTTCAGGCCCAAGGCCTGCTCTCGTCGTGTTGGGCCTCAGGCTACCGGGGCCTACTAGAAGCTTCCTGGGACTGGACGCAGGCAGGCCACTTCGATATAGGAAAGGGCCTGCCTCCTCATTCGGGATTCGGGTGCTGGCTGCATGCTGCGCAAGCGCTGCTGCTGCGCTATTTGCTGGCTGGCGCCTACGCTCTCGTGGGCGAGCAGGGAAGGAGCACGCAGCCATAGCCGAGCTGCGCTGATGTAAGCTGGGTGAGGCGCACGGTGGTCCTTGGGTGCTAGTGGCATATGTGAGTTGGGGAACGAGGTTGTGAGTGTAGCGCGAGACATACCTGGTGCTGGAAGCGTGCGACATTGGTCGCCATATGCTCGTACTTCGGTATAGGCTATATAGGATCTGCCACATGTAGTCTGGGTGCCGAGCGCCAGATAGGATATCAACTCCGGTTCTTCGTTGATGATGATGGGATTATTTCAGCATTATCAATTATGAACTCTTGGTGTGTTCTTATTTGGTGAATCTCGTGATGCAACTCTGCTGTTGGTTCGAGGTCACGACTATCTGGACTCATATGTATGATGTTGTTTGATTGCTGAAGTTCGCTATTGCTCATCTTCCTTGCAATTTGGTATCGGAGCTGTGGTACAATTGCACTCATCTGGCGCTTGTCTTYTGCCTTATGCGGTRCATACATGCGGTCTSCTGGGCGAGTTTGGYCGTAAGTGGTGTGTAGTGAGGAGGGTGGAGACGAGTGTAGTTGCGACCCAGGAGGTGAGGGGATCGCCAGGAAGGCTACGTGAGGGGAATGTGGTCTGGACAGTGTGATGAGAACTATCTAATGTGCGATTGATGCTGAGGTGGAACGACGAGATAATGCTGGTTGTGCCGATGCAGTGACTGGTCATCGCAATCCCCATTTGGTCATCTGGTGAGATTAACTCTGTGGTTGGGGGCAGCTAATTGAGGTACGTTGCTCTTAACCTTATCTTCCCTCTCCGACACTTCTTATCGTGAGGTTAAGTGTTCCTTCTTGAGAGTCCTCTCATCGTGAGGTGTCGAGTCCGCTCAACCTTGAGAGTCGGCAATGTTCACGTGGAGCATCTGGGTGGAGATGGGCGGAGCTTTCTGAAGGGCCCTGGACGAAGCACTGGGTCACGGTCACCATGCCAACCCACAGGGAGTAGTGCACGCATGCCTTGCTGCTTGTCCTTTGTCCGGCTTGCTGCGCTGTTAGAGGGGTACTACTGGGCAGGCCAGCCCTACAGGAAAGACAAGCACCCGACGTCTATAAATAAACACGGGAAGGGGATATCACTGGCTGTGATCGTCGTCCTGCTGCGATGTAAAATAATTCATGATGTCACTTGGGGGCGGACTTTAAAATGCCTCTTGATCAGCCTGTGATGTAAGGCTCGCGGCACGCTGAGGATAAATATACGTGCAAGGCTGGCCACCTCAGCAGATACTCGGGGCACAGGGGTAGGCCGGACACACACCTTTAGACACACAACGCTCTTCGGATTGCTCAGGGACGCTGATGTCAAGGGATACTCAGGGGAAATAAGGGAGGGGTTGATTCCAGGTGATAAGTTCGAGAAAATTCCATGTTGTCCTATCCACACAAATGATTCTATTTTTATGTTTTGATTAGTTAGATGTACAACCATTGACATCTAGCTGACAGTATTAGTTAGAACTGTTTTTGTTCCTGATGCTTCTGTTGGCGTACTAGTCAGACTAAAATTAGTTTCATTTGTAGGAATTTGGACTTACCTGTTAGAAGCCGAATGTATTTGCTCCGGAATAGCCACCAATTAAGTATTTATTTATTTTAAATTGGTATGTGCACTCTGTTGCGGTATGCATCTTGAATGACCTAGTGTAGACGGTGCACAGTGCTGCAGTATATGAGCGACACGGAGGACACATCACAGGACGACCGGATCTTGCGATCAGCTTGGCGCCCGATAGCCCACGTGTCCCTAGGACCGAAGGGTGATAGGATTCTGTTCCGCAAGCTTAGGGAGAGGCAGCAGCAGCAGAGGAGAGCTAGAGCAGCCGAGGCCAGCAGGGCTTTAGCTAGCGAGGCCGGTGCTTCAGCAGCCATGGCCACTTCCCTGATGGTCACTTCTGCGCAGCAGACTTCCCAAGCCAGCAGTTCAGGTACCGTCGGGTCAATGGTCGTGCAGACCGTGAGTCAGTCCACTGGCGTTATGGCAAGCCAGGCAGTAGTGTTGACTCCAGAGGATGTCGCCATCCAGCAGGCAGCCCTCCAGGAGGCACAGCTACAACGGGCATTAGGAGAGATAAAAGCAGAGAAGGAAAAAATGATTAGAAGAAGAGCCAGGATGCAGCGGAGAGGGGCAGACATAGAGGAGTTAGAAACGATGGACCTGACGAACATGGATGCCGATGTGAGGGTAGTTAGGAAGGCCCTGCTAGGAGTAATAGAGATGCAGGAGAATCAGACTATCATCCTCCAGGATATCCAGCAGAGCCTAGCCATTCTGGCGTTCTCAGGCGGCACCATCACCATCCGGGCCTGGTGCCTGGCCCATGGCATATCCTCCTTTTTTTGTCCCATCGGTGACAGGGGTATCCCCATATGTAGCCCCGTCATCGGTTGCTATCGTTTCCCTGGGCATGCCGCTGACAGGAGGGGTATCAGCAGGGACTAGTTTGCAGGTTCCTGTTCAGACAGTGTTCACCCAAACTCCATCACAGGTTGCAGTCACCACACAGCCTGCTGTCTCACAGCTTGTGCAGCCGCAGGGCACACAGCCCCAACAACTAGCACAGCAGCCTGTATCATCGGGTCCACAGCCCGGAGTGGTGCAGGGACCGGGACAAACACAATGGGTTCCAAAGGCGGCCATCGCCGCTCCTAAACCTTTCGCAGGGGATAAGAGGGGTGAAGACCTCGACACGTGGTTGAGGGCAGTGCCGGTCTACGTCAGGTGTAAACGTACCTTGCCGCACGAAGTGCTTGTGGCTGCTTCCTACCTAGAGGGTAGTGCAACAAGATGGTTGAGTGGTTTAGTGCAGCTTCAGGGGTATGGTCATGACTTCCGCTCTTGGGCAGCCACCCATAAATTGGGGGACTTCCTAAAGATGGTGGAGGAAAGGTGGCACAATCCTCAGGAGGCCCAAAGGGCCACTGATGCGATCTTGACACTGCACACACGGCAATTTAAGTCAGTAAGGGAAGCCACTGATGCTGTTGAGCGTCTGATCTGTGTCCCAAGGGTGCGCTACGACCCCCAGGTTCTCCTTACCTCGTACTTGAGATGCTTTTCTCAGCCTCTCAGGAACCAGTTAACAAGGGAGGCCAACATCAATATGCACAACTCTCCTTCGTTCAGCAAGTTGGCCCTAGACCTAGAGGCTAAGATAGGGCATGGACAGACACCCACTACGGATGGGAGGAAAAAGACACTGCCTCCTAACAGGAAGGCGAAGGGTCGCTTAATGTTTGTCGATAATGATGGTTCCACTATCGAAGTCGACGAACATTTCCAGGAAGGAGTAGGTTCAGAGGCGGGCAGCGTAGAAACTTCAGAGGGTGGAGTGGTCGCTGCCGTAGCTCAAAAAGGAAAGGCGACCGGTAGACGCCGTGGATGTTCTAGGTCTAGGAGTCAAGTTGACCCCAATGCTCCTCCATGGGAGAAAGCGGGTCTTACAGAGGACGTGTGGAGAGATAGTTACTCACGGCAGGCCTGTATTCGTTGTGGTCAATATGGCCACAACCAATTCAAGTGTCGTAATAAGAAGGTGAAAAAAAAATCCCGCCTACGATGGGGCGGGTGTTGGGATCCTCTCACCCCGTTGGTAGCAATGTTGCCAGTACTTCTGGCAGTGCTCCGGGAAACACGTCGGGCCAGTAGGAATAGTAGTTGTTCCTGCTAGGGTCGAGGTGGGGGAGACACCCTCACGATCTCGAGAGAGGGCCCAAGCTACTGACTCCATCGTCGTCCTGCAAACACGTTCAGACCCATCGAGCCTCTGTTCGATGAATGTGTTTGAGTCCTTAGAGGAGCTAGAGGTGGAGTGGTCTAGATCAGACCCGCTAGCTTCTTGGACGACCTTAATCAAAGCCCCTAAGGGTGAAATGTTCGTCAGCGAGGTTGTCATTGGCGGCCGCAAGGCCGGGGCCTATTATGACACTTGCTCGACTAGGAACTTTTGCGCGTGCGTTGAGAGGCTACGTTTACAGGGGCAAGTGCAGCGCTTGAGTCGACCTGTGGAGTCGACCTGTGCCAACAAACAACGCATGGTAGTCAATGACTACCTCCAAGATGTTGAGTGTTGTTTCCCGTACGCGGGAGGGGACTTGAGACATCGTGTCTCGTTCCTAGTAAGTGATGAGCTCCCAATGGATATGTTACTAGGCATGTACTACCTCTCTGTGGCACAGCCCCAGTTTGACTGGGACCGAAAAGTGGTCAAACACACTTTGCCAGGTGGAGGGACCGCCAGATTACATAAGTTCAAAGCTAGTAGTCTGATTGAGTCCTATGGGTGCATGTGTGCGGCCGCGTTCTACAATTATTATAAGCAAAATCAGGAGGAGGGTATGTATTTAGTTTATGTCTCTGCTGCAGGCGAGCCGGTGAAAATGTCGCCGGAGATAGAGGGAGTAGTTGCTAAGTACCTTGATCTATTTGAAGAACCGACAGGGGTTGTTGAGAGGAAGGTCGTCCATGCGATAGAGATTATCCCAAGGTCTAGTATTCCGAAGGGTAGGATCTATCGGATGTCTCCAGGCGAGCTTGATGAGCTTCGCCGCCAACTCAAGGAACTCGTAGAGAAGGGTTGGATCCGGCCGAGTGTCTCTCCTTATGGGTCTCCAGTTCTATTCGTACCTAAGAAGAAGGAGGGTACTCTTAGGATGTGCATTGACTATAGGGGCCTCAATGCCATCACTGTAAAGAATAGAGAGCCCCTACCGCGTATCGATGATATGTTAGATAGAGTGCAAGGGTGTCGGTACTTCAGTAAGATAGATTTGAAGTCCGGGTACCATCAGATTGCAATTCGGCCCGAGGATCAGCACAAAACCGCTTTCCAGACCAGGTACGGTCTGTACGAGTTTGTGGTGATGCCTTTTGGCCTTTGCAATGCTCCTGGCACCTTTCAGCACGCTATGAATCGGATATTCCATGACTACTTAGATAAGTTTGTCATCATGTACCTCGATGACATACTTATTTTTAGTAAGACTATCGAGGAGCACGTTGCACATTTGGACAAAGTCCTCGCCTCCTGCAACAACACAAGTTCAAGATCAACGGTGAGAAGTGCGAGTTTGGCCGCACCCGTGTCTTGTACTTGGGTCATGAGATCTCCGCGGAAGGGTTGAAGCCCGATGATGCGAAGGTGGCCAGCATTCGTGATTGGCCACGTCCTCAGTCTGTGACTGAGATGAGATCTTTCTTAGGAATGACAGGCTACTATAGGACTTTCGTTAAGATTTATAGCATAGTGGCCGCTCCTTTGACTGATCTGACCCGCCTTGACACCCCATGGGAGTGGACAGACGAGTGCGAGGTCTTGAAACTTCCTGATCCTGACAAGCTGTTCATAGTCACCACGGATGCCAGCCAATATGGCATTGGCGTTGTGCTCGCGCAGCAGGAGGGGCCAAAGTTGAGACCTGTAGAGTACATGTCCAAGAAAATGCCGTCTGAGAAGTTGGCTAAGTCCACCTATGAGAAGGAACTCTATGCGGTTTACAAGGCTCTGACCCATTGGAGACACTATCTCCTTGGGAGATTCTTCATCCTCATGACTGATCATCAGACCCTGAGATGGATGAGAACCCAGCCTGTACTTTCTGATGCCCTCAAGTGTTGGATAGAAGTCATTGAGCAGTATGACTTTGACCCTCAGTATCTGAAGGGGGAGTACAACAAGGTTGCGGATGCCTTGTCGCGTACACCTGATTTCTCAGGTGCGCTGATTACTGAGTTCAATCTGACAGACCATGTTACTCAGTCCTTGGTGGAAGCCTATCGGGAGGACCAGTTCATGTCCGAGATCATACGCAGACTTCAGGCAAAGGACAAGAAGACCTCTGTCGAGTTTGAGTTGGTCAATGGTTTGCTGTTCCTTGAGAAGGACGGGGATAAACGATTGTGTGTCCCAAGTAGCGAGTCTTTGCGTAGTTTGTTTTTAGATGAGTGCCATGATGCCACCGGCCATTTTGGGTATAAGAAGACCGCAGCCAACTTGCTGCAGCGGTTCTGGTGGCCGACGATGATGCGAGATGCCAGCTGTACGTGGAGACTTGTCAAGTTTGCCAACGGGACAAGCCACATACTCAGGCTCCTCTTGGGCTTCTGAAGCCCCTTCTGATTCCGGAACGGCCTGGTGAGAGTCTGTCCATGGATTTCATGGATACTTTGATCACCAGCAAGAGTGGGATGCGTCACGTCTTTGTTATTGTGAATAGATCTAGTACTTATGCTAGGTTAGTACCAATGCCGGAAACAGCAAAGACGGAGTATGTGATCCGGATGTTCAAAGAGAACTAGGTTAGAGACTTTGGGTTACCGAAGTCTATTGTCAGTGACCGGGATGTTCGGTTTACCAGCGAGTTGTGGAAGGCCGCTGCTGCAGACCAGGGAACTCAGTTGCAGATGACTTCTGGGAATCACCCAGAGGCCAATGGACAGGCTGAGCAACTCAATCGCGCTGTGCAACACCTGTTGAGGCACTACACTAAGCCCAACCAAGTGGATTGGGATGAGAAGCTTGCTCTCATCGCCAGCTTGTACAACAATGCTGTACACAGCACCACTGGGGTGAGCCCGAACAGTTTACTACTGACGTTCAAGCCGAGACTACCCCTTGACTTTCTCCTTCCTGAGAATCAATCAACTGCTGCACCAGGTACTTTAGAGTTTGCCTACAAATATGAACAGAAAATGCAGCAGGCGGTAATGCAGATGCGACACGCACATGCAGCAATGATAGAGTCTGAAAATAGACACCGCCGTCCTTCTACATTTCAGGTTGGGGATAGGGTTTGGGTTAAGTCTTCAGAACTGGGACAGGAGTACGGGATCTCCCGCAAAATCATGCCCCAGTACTTTGGACCTTGGGAAGTCTTGGACATCGTCGGGATAGAACCGGATGGGCCATCTTACGTTATCCGGATTCTTGGTCATATCCGTACTTACCCTGTCTTTCACGCCTCCAAGCTGACACCTTTCAAAGATATTGATCAGTTTCCATCTCGTCGCTCAATGCTGCCCCCAACCATGGATGGAGAGGTGGACATCGATGATATTGTGGATCACAGAGAGCTGCCGATATCAAGACCAGCAAGCAGGGGACGTCCTCCGAAACCGAAGCTGCAGTACCGCGTTCGGTTTCGGCATCACACTGATCCGAAGGAGGACCGCTGGTTCACTAGGGAAGAGCTCATGCAGACCGCTCCTCAAGTTGTAACCCAATACGAGAGATCTCTGCAGAAGGGAAAGCGCCCTATGATCAAAGACTGAGCTTCTCAGAGGACTGTTGGAGATAAGGAGGAGGGAATGCGAGGCCATTGCCTCTATGAGCCCCATAAGGGCCCATTTTTGCAGCCCGTCGGCCGCCCTAAGTGAAGGCAAGCTCGACGAGGCCCTCAGGGCCCTTTTTTGGCCACCACGCAACTCAGGGAAATTCAGGCAGTTGTGCAGCGCCAGTTGGTTGAGTGAACCCAGGCCCAGGGCCGCCTGTGTGGATGTATGTGAAGCAGGTCCTAGGCTGGATACGGGTACGGGGCCAAACACAGGCCGAAGGCAGTTGGGCACATGCAACCACTTCAGGCCCAAGGCCTGCTCTCGTCGTGCTGGGCCTCAGGCTACCGGGGCCTACTGGAAGCTTCTTGGGACTGGACGCAGGCAGTCCACTTCGATATAGGAAAGAGCCTGCCTCCTCATTCGGGATTCGGGTGCTGGCTGCATGCTGCGCTATTTGCTGGCTGGCGCCTACGCTCTCACGGGCGAGCAGGGAAGGAGCACGCAGCCATAGCCGAGCTGCGCTGCTGTAAGCTGGGTGAGGCGCAGGGTGGTCCTTGGGTGCTAGTGGCATTTGTGAGTTGGGGAACGAGGTTGTGAGTGTAGCGCGAGACATACCTGGTGCTGGAAGCGTGCGACATTGGTCGCCATATGCTCGTACTTCGGGAATGATGTTGACGTCATCTTTCGGCTTCGTAGTATAGGCTAGATAGGATCTGCTGGGCGCCGAGCGCCAGATAGGATATCAACTCTGGTTCTTAGTTGATGATGATGGGATTATTTCAGCATTATCAATTATGAACTCTTGGTGTGTTCTTATTTGGTGAATCTCGTGATGCAACTCTGCTGTTGCTTTGAGGTCACGACTATCTGGACTCATATGTATGATGTTGTTTGATTGCTGAAGTTCGCTATTACTCATCTTTCTTGCAGGAGGATTCATTCCCATTTTTGCGCCGTGTCCTCTCTCTCTCTCTCTCTCTCTCTCTCTCTCTCTCTCTCTCTCTCTCTCTCTCTCTCTCTCTCTCCCGTGCCAAGAGAAAAAAACATTATTGTTTATTTTCTTTGTTCTTGCAATCAGACTCGTTATCTTTCACACTTCACATGTATGCAAACAGGTGCGCAGCAAACTGGGGACAAGTGCATACTCAAACTCAGAGATATGGTAGCCGATAACACAGTTCAAATACAAGTTCACTTCAATGGCTATGGCGAAACAGTGCCCGCTCAACTCTCTGTTCACACACACAGGATCACCCTGGATATCCCACACGCATACACTGTACACACATACACACACACACTACACTCTACCTACAGCTATGGCGGCTATAGCCACTGCCAACCTATCGCTATGGCTAAGCTCCTTCTCGCCCACTTCGTCTCCGGGCTCACTGCAGACCACCACCTCGCACAAGTCGCTGTAGCAGCGCTTCCGCATGGCTTACACAGGAAAAAATGAATGGTTGGTGCTGGCTCTTGATTTATACTTCTATAGCCCGGTGGTGTGGCCCTTTCCCATGCCCGTAGTGCACACAGTCCCATATGCTACTTGCTTGACTGGACTAGGACTGATTGGGACGGGGACTGCTGACTCAGCACAGGTAAATTCCACCACTTGCCCACTTGCCTCAGCCTAAACATGGGCAACTTCGAAAGGCCACTGCTTGGACCTTTCGGAAGGCCGTGGACCTGGCCTTTCGAAACTGTAGCAGCTACGACCTTGACCTTTCGGAGGAGCTGCAGCTACGACTTGTAGACCCTGCTAATACTCCTATCCGACAAGTCTACAGATCGAACCCCTATAGCCTACAGACCTACGACGACCTACTAACTGTTACAAATACACAGGTCGCGGGTTCAACTCTCGGGTTCGACACAGGTAATGTACACAGGTAAGGCTAAGTCTAGGGATCGAGCCCTGGGATCCGCATTCGCTACTGCACACAGGTGAATGCCATTTCACTCCCGCCGGCCTAAATTCGAGGTCCTCCGAGAATAACTCAGTCCAAGGCAGGACCTTGACCTTTCTTATCTCTCTCGTAGGCTCTAACTATATCGGGAGTTGTCTCTAGAAGTTCTGTTCTGGTAAACCAGCGGTCATCCTCCGGTTCCTGATAAGCGAACCGGACCTTATGATGCTTTTGTGGACGACCGCTACCTCCTGTTCTAAGCACATCTGCCGTCAATGTCATATCTCCCATCCATATCCGGAGGGATCATGGGTCTTCTCGAATGAAATGTTGGCTTGTGATACACGGCAACAACTTTGAGCCATGAAACAAGGTAGGTGTGGAGGTGTGCTGGGATCTCTATGGTGTAGGACGGCCCATCCTCTCCGCCCTTAACTTCTAGAACTGGCCACGGTCCTCTGTACACGGCAGTAACTTTTGCAAGATGTTTTCCTCAGGAGCAAACTCTTTGGACTTGAACCAGACTAAGTCGCCTACTTGAAACTGTGACGGGCGACGGTGCTTACTAGCCTGTTCTATCATTCGGTGTTGGGCCTTCCTGAGGTTCTCAACAACAGTAGCTAGCTCATTTTAGTGCTGGATCGCGAACTCCCTGGTACTGGGCGGTAGCCTGTGAATCTGATCCCGGTTAAGTCCCTCAAACGGTCTGCGTGGTCTAAAGGACTTGTGCAACTCATTGGGAGTGCGACAGGTGGACAGGTGCACGTTGTTGTTATAAGCACTGGCTACCTTGGGCAACATCTCGTCCCAATTGACTTGATCGGGTCTAATGTATATGTGCAGGACTTGCTGCAGGATCTTATTCATCTGCTCAGTCTGACCGTTAGTCTCTGGATGGCGGCCAGATGACATCAACAACTTTGAACCATAGACTTTCATAAGTTTGTGCCAGTTCTGACTCGTAAAGCGGGTGTCTCTATCACTAACAATAGACAATGGGACGCCATGCTCGCTAACCCAAAAATCAAAGAACTTTTGTATTACTAACTCGGTGTGTGCCTCTGCAGACTGCCGGCAAAGGAACAAAGACAGCATACTTACTAAATCTATCAACTACGGCCATGACTTGGCTTTTGTCGTGCCTACTCTTGACTTGGGTATCCATAAAGTCAATGGACACAGAGTCTCCAGGCTGGTCAGGAATAGGCAAGGGTCTGAGAAGACCTAGAGGGGCACGCGAAGTGGTCTTATTTCTTTTGCAAACTTTGCAACTGCGAACATACTCTATGCAGTCGACTTTCATTCCTGGCCACGTATACGCATGCACCAGGTTGGCTAAAGTCTTTTGCCAACCGAAATGTCCCTCTGTGTCGTGGCATTCCCCGAGGATCAAACTACGAATCTCCTCGCTGTTAGGGACGCACAAACGGTCTACTACATTAGTCTTCTCAAATAACAACCCCTCTGTAGTGCGGTAATCTGGTTCGGTCTTTGGGGCCTCCTTAACTCTCTTGAGGAGGTAACTATAAATAGGGTCCTGTGCATAAGCCTGTCTAACTTTCTCCTGCAGGTCACTCCCTATATCCAGATAGTGAACTATGGCTCCAAAATAGTCTGATCACCTACTTAGAGCATCCACAACTACATTGTACTTGCATTTGACAGGCGTGAGCTCAAAGTCGTACTGGTCTATCTCAGCGGCCCACCTAGTCAACTTAGGTCTCATTTTGGCCTGTGTCTTCAACCATCTAAGGGTCTCATGGTTTGAATACACCTTGAAGTGCCTCCCAAGCAGGTAATGCTTCCAGTGCTCTAAGGCCTGCCTGAGAGCGTAGAGTTTCCTCTCATACGTCGAGGTAGCGACCTTCNTGAAGTGCCTCCCAAGCAGGTAATGCTTCCAGTGCTCTAAGGCCTGCCTGAGAGCGTAGAGTTTCCTCTCATACGTCGAGGTAGCGACCTTCTCTAAGGGCATCCTCGCTAACATGAACTCTACGGGTCTATAGCCATTGCCGTCGTCCTGCTGTAACACGACGCCTATACCATATTGACTCGCGTCCGTGGTGACGACAAATGGCAAGGACGGATCTGCTACCTTGAGGACAGGGTACTCTATTTAATGCCATTTCCGTCTAACACGTGGTCCAAGTACAAGGCTTGCGTCTTGGCCCACTCACACTTCTTTGCGTTGATCTTGAAGTTAGCCTCTCTMAGCTTCTCCAAGACCTGCCTCAAATGACCCTGGTGCTCTTGGAGGGTCCTACTGAACACTAAGATGTCGTTTAAATACACTACGACAAATCTATCTAACCACGGCCTAAACAAATCATTCATACAACGCTGGAATGTGGCAGGCGCGTTGGTCAGTCCAAAGGGCATCACTATGAACTCGTAGTGCCCGTATCTAGTCCGGAACGCAGTCTTGTACTGGTCATCAGGATGGACCTCTATCTGATGATATTCGAACTTCAGATCAATCTTCGAAAAGTATCTGCAACCCTGCACCCGATCTAAGAGATCGTCTATCCTGGGCAGAGGTTCAACATTCTTCATTGTGATCACGTTCAGACCCATATAGTCTATACACATACGCAACTCTCCTTCCTTTTTAGGGACAAACAAAACGGGTGTTCCAAAAGGATGGGTCGAATCCAACCCTTCTCAAGGAGCTCATCCAACTGCTTGCGCAACTCCTCTAACTCCCTAGGGGACATTCTGTAAACTGCTCCCTTAGGAGTTCTACTGCAAGGCTCTATCTCTATTCTGTGCTTGATCGGCCACGACACTACTCCTGTCGGCGGCTCTGTTAAATCTTTGAACTCCTCCAGCAACTTGGCAATAGCTGGGTCTATGGGCTCCTTTGCTTTAGGCTCAGTGACAGGTCTAATGTAAGCTACAAAGACCTGGTCCTCTAGTTGCTCCGTTCTCACTAGTCGGGCGAACGCGGGAGCACTGAGACAGCAATGTGTCAGTGAGTTATCTACTCCTGACACGTGGAACAGACAGGTTGTCTTAACCTCGCCTGACGGACTAGGGAACCTACACTCATGTTCTCTCAAATGAAGTGTGGCCCCTGCTGCCTCTCCCAGTCCATATCTAGAACTATATCAAAAGGAAGGTCAACCTGTACGAGCAGAATCAGGGAATGGAG